TCTGAGAAGAAGACATGGCCTTAATGCCGTTGTTATTTCCTAAATGAGGGTCATGGAACCCATTTTGAACGATTTTGATGGATGACCTACTTTCTTCATACATTCTGCTGCTGGGCTCATACTAAAATCTAACTTTCTGAAAAGTTCTAATGCACTTTAAATGTCGGGCCGCAGGCAAAGTCCTTATATATACAAACATGTTACAGGTAGAGTTAGAAATACCTGTAACAGTCTTTCCTCTGTTAGCAAGATAATTAGCGCCTGGTGTAGATAACGGTTAGGTATAAAATTCAGGGACAGCTACATTCTGGAGTTCACAAATATAAAAGATTCAGAAAGTCATTGGTAATTTCACCCGAGGGCAGAGCCGATTTGTGGTCACCTTGAAGCCTTACGCTGTCAGGTTAATTGTAGCCACAAGGGTTCGAGAGGAATAAACTAGGGATGACTCGATCCGATACTTAGAATCAGTATCGGTCTGAAATTGGTCAAAACTTTAGAAACTACTCTACTTAACCCTGCGCGACATGCCGTAAACAGGGACACCATCACCTCAGAAAGAGCAGAAATGTTATCATCTTATAATGGGAAACCATCTTGTGCTGAAATGTTATCACATCTCTGAGATGGGATCGGGTGTATTGAGATGCTATCAGGTAATAATGAGAGGCTACATGGTCACATGATGTCATCTTGTAATTCTGAGATTTTATCTCAGAATAATAGCCAGAGTACATCCTGATGATACTTCGTAGAATTATGTGATTCTCAGAGTGAGATTTTTCTCATACTGAAATTGTACCTCATTATTGGAAGGTGTTTATTATTATTAAGGATGGCTCAGTCCAATACTCAGGATAAGTATCGATCTAATATTGGTCAAAATTTCAGGCTTGAATATCACAAAACAAATGTCTGATCCGATCCCAAGCCAAATGCTCAACTTAACATTGGCAACATTGGAGACAAGAAAGTATTGGATTGGTATCGGTATCAGCAGATACTCCAAGTTGCAGTATCAGTATCTGTTATTGAAAAAGTTGTATGGAGTCATGCCTAGAATAAACAATCCTTTAAGGCGGCTAAAATGATGCCATTAGTAAATAAATGACATATACATTGGAGCGGCTAAAATGATGATGCCATTAGTAAATAAATGACATATCGTGGTGAATTTAAACTTATGTGAAAGTACTACAGCAATGCTGACAAAACTATGTTATTAACAGAAAAAGAGTTGTACTTTAAAGGGCAGTGTGTCATATTTTCTGAAAAGAGGTTTGTATTTAGGGTGTGTCTAATGCTAATGCTAATGTTCTGAGACTCAACCACCAGTGTTAAACCCTGGTTTGGGACTAGCAAGAGTAGTCCCTAGTAAGAGGACACGTGATATAAAACCCCACATCTGACTGTCATCATGAGCAACATGGAATGACACATATTGGCTTCAAGCCACGTCAGCTGGAGCTGGGCTTTAACCACATTTAACCAGACACTCCCACCCAGTCACTGAGTTCAAGCCAAACAATCTCCCATAGTGACTTTCACTAAACTTGGTGTGAGGTGCGGGCGTGCTGCAGCCTCCTCTCGCCCGGTCCATCTGTCCGTCTGCGTGTTCCGTGCCTAACGTGTGTTGTGATGCTAATGAGACCTGCTGCCTCCACGCTACAACACCACTTTTTAATTGAACCTTTTGATCTGTGGCTAATTCCACTAATTAGCAACACTATTTTCCCAACAGAGTGTTTTCTCTGCAGTGGAAGTGTGTATCTGTGTATTAGTGTCAGTCCCTCTTTCTTTTCTAACTACCCACCCAGCCAACTGCCGGCTGGCATTTAAAAGGGCCTCCAAACGACAGAAAGAAAGAAAGAAAAAAAAAAAGAAAAAGAAAACATGGCGTGGAACAGACAGGTGCACTGTTAATGGTAATAAAGTTAAATTAAAAAAAGCACAGATGCTCATTAAACAGCCTTAACACAGGCAAATAAGCGGTGTGTTTTATTTGCCTGTATAATTTTATATCAGTGCTCACTTCTACACAGCCAGGAAACAAACACACGGAAGCTGTTGGCTGTGGCATGAACGAGGCCGAGGTGAATGGCATTTATACTCGCTGACATTATGTGGCAGTTAGTTTCAAATTGTGTTTGCATACGATAAACAACGTCACTGGTACAAACACAGGCACGCGGGCGAACAACACGATGCAGTACAAAGTCATGCTGTAAGATTGAACCGTCCAATCAGAGAGAGTCTGACTAATCCAAATGATGGGGTTATTAACATGGAGAAATAACAATAATATTACTCAAATTTAGCCTCAGATTTTAGTTGTTGCTGTTCATCTTGAACATAATGTATTGAGTCTCTTTCAAAACCTCCTGGAACAATTCTGGTCAGTCTACAGTCTGCCTCGATCCGTTTGACAGTCAGCTTGTCAGACGTAGACTTAGGAGTCGGAGGTTTAACCTCAGGTTGAAGCCTCGGCAATCACACGCGGGACGTTGAGGTGGTGATTTAAGCTCCAGTCACTTAGTTTCCCCACAATGTGTGCAAATAACATAACATGTTGTAACTGTGTACGGCAGCACAATAAATGAAGAAACTTTGGAATATTGAATATGGTTCCGTCACTCTGCTCAATTCTATTTTTGTAAATAACTATTTACGCATTTGCGCCACAGCAGTTGAAAAAACAAACAAACAAAAAAAAACAAGAAGCTTGTACTAGTTTCACACTGAAAATGTACATTTCCTCAGAGCAAACCTCTTATTTGACTTAAACTGTTGTAAAAAAAATAACACTGTAATGAAACATTGAACAAACACCATGAAGATATTAGTCATCCTGACCTGGACATGATTATCTGACGACTCACAGATCAAACAAATATTCTAACAAATTAAAGTGTGGCCAGATCAATAATAAAACCATTAGTGTTTGTGTGTGGATACTTTGATGAATGTTGCCTGTGTCAGTGCTGCCTCGCGTTTACAGCCCAGTGTTCTCCTTATGATTTTTATCTTCCGCTCTTCTCACATCATTAAACAAATGTCCAGCTCATAACTCAGCCTTTCATGAAACACAAACTCGGAAGATGAAACGACAGCAGAGTGGGGGGAAAAAAAAAAAACTAATTGCTCAAAAAGTCTCGTCTGCCTTTTACACTCCAGTGAAAGCTCATTAAGCTCCGTCACCATCAAAAATACATTTCATTTTTGTTCATGTCATTGATGAAAATTTAACTTACTGAAATCAAGCACTGTTCATAAAGAAATATTATTAAAATATTAAACCACTTTGCTTGAAGCCAAAGGGAAGTCAGATTGTTCCGCGTGTAACCACTGCGCTACAACACTGCCACACTCCTGTTGATATAACTGCTATTTTGCTTCCCCTGTTTTCCCCACTAAGCCTCATTAGTGCCTTTTCAACCAGATTAGCTCTCAGAATAGCTAGCGTCTGTGCTCCACACAGGCAACCTTGCTGTCGCTGTTGCAACGTTTTGTCTTTATGACGCCTTGAGCAAAAACCTGCAGGAAAATGTGGAGGTAAATAAAACAGAGGAGGCTGTGGGAGGCGATGAATGTCTCTCATTAGGTGTGTTTTTGTGACAAACCACAACGATGTTTCATTTGATTCGTTTCCTCTGCATTACCTTCATTAGACGGTGAATGTCTTTTTCCAAATGTACACGGGTTAAAAACCGAGGCCGAGATGAGCACGGCTGTGTTTGTTGTACGACCAGTGAGCTCAGGCCTGCAGCAGCATGCTGTACGACAGCAACAAACACTACGTGCCGTGTCAGATTTATGACTTACACCTCTATTCTTTTCCCCCTCGAATGCCAGTCAAAATAATGAATACATAAATAAGGACATATCAGGCCGAGTAAATAAGACAGAGAGGAGCAGGAGACAGGAACGGATGAGTGACAGCTCACAGTCTGTCCATCTCACACCAGCCCGAGCATGACTCCACATACACATGCACACATCACCCTCCGAACAAGTGCCGGAGCATAGATTAGCATCTCAAATCTCAGCAGCAGTGCAGGAGACAGGCCGTGATTGTGTCCATCATCTACAGCTCCTCCAACATCACAGACGTCAGGTCTGTACACTGTCAGTAATATTAACCTGCTGTGCCGTTGGTAGGATAGTCTGCAAAAGTCTTCATTATCAATTTAAACACTGAACTCACTACACTGGGCCGTTAATGGAAGAGCAGCATTCATTTATTAAAAAAAAAAAAAAAGAAGAAGAAGCCATAACACCGACTTTGACTGTTGAAAGATGGAGATGTATCATTGTAAAAAAAAGTAATCAATATATATTTCTGGAAATACGGCATATATCATAGATAACCAAACATATTTGACACAGAAAAGACAAAACCCCAAGGAATTACTCTATTAACAGGTTTATATATATATATCCAACAAAAGTTCTGCTAAAAGAAAATCGTGAACATAGCTAAAAGTTAACCCCCCCCCCGCACCTCCAGCATAATTTAAATCTAATCACCACTTGCCTTGTGATGATCCCAAATGTACTCAAATATATTACACGAATGCAAAAAGGAAAGAGTCACTGTTGTCATCCCAGTGCTGCTGTTCCAGACTATGGCCGTTCCTACCACCATCGTCCACACAGGTATCTTAACGTACAGCCCTTTACATCTTCATTGAGGAGACGATGACCTTTTATTAAATACCACAGCTCAGCTGCTCTGAGTTGCCTTTACCTGCTCTGTTATATCTGCAATGCAGCTTTATCCTGACTGCTACCCTACATTAGTTGAACGGCATATTTCTGTTCATTAACTCTGTGTTTGCAGCTGCACTGCTTCAATCACCTTGGCTGAAGGAACCAGGAAGCTGCATAAGGTGATAGTCATCAGGTCTGGCTGTGACAGGGAGCGACTCAGTGGTGTTTATAAAAAAAAAAAAAAATAGCAACTGATTAAATTTGGAGGTCAAAGCTTTAGGAAAACTTACCTTTGTCACTCCTTCATGAAGGCTTAGGACGTTTTCAATAGGAGACTCGTCTGGACAGCAGGCCGGCTGGTCAACAATACTCCACGGTGCTTGAAGGTCATGCACATTCAGCAGCTGTTTTCAACTTCTTTGATTTCTCTCAACTTCCTCTATGTTTTTAAACAGACGATCTTCTCTCGAAGGTCATCACTGAGTGTTGGTTCATCATTCATGACTGACAGTCGGGTGGATACTCTTCTTACCTTTAACCTGTTCCCAGTAAACCAGCTAGTGGAGGAAGATTTCAGTATTTGGCAAACATGACCTTTTCATGACCTTGACTTGGTCTCTGTAGTGCAGTATGTCACAATTATGGGAAGAATCAGGGCAGCACTCGAGAAACCAGATGCAAAAAAGTTCATTTACTAGTCCAATCAGGCAATTCACAGGAAACCAGAGGAACGAGGGCCAGGCAGGAACGAAGGAGAACCGAGGAGAACAACAACCAAAGACTGAGTGAGGAAGAGAGGTGTATAGACCCTGGGCACCAGGTGACACCAGTGATACTAACGACAGGACACAGGTGAGGGTGATGACACTGATTAACCCCCACAGAAGCAGACAGACCAGACACAGAAGGCTTTTCCTTTCAGGCTCAAAACACATTTCTTTGTTCTGGTGTTTTTTTCTTCAAAATGAAGTTTAATTTACTACTTTTTAATCAAACATTTAAAAAGTCTCATGAAATTCAGATTGTTTGATTTTTAAATAGTCAGAAAAGAATATCCCCTGGCTGTAACTTCACACTTTACAGAGATGCTGAAACAATTAAAAATAAAAGGTTAAAGATGTAGAGGATGAGAAAATACAGGTCAGTATCGATGTTTTTTTTTTGTTTTTTTTATTTTGTTTATTGGAGCAGCTGCTAAATTTCCCACTTCCTCCACTCTGAACACAACCTGCCTCAGGTTAGTCCCCTGAACACACTCCGCACACACAAAAACACAAGCCTGCCTGAGGCGTTAGCACACACGCTAACCTACCAACGTGCACACACTCATACACACAGCCCGGGTCATTAGGGAGAACAGCCTCAGAGACGCAGCGTCCTAATTAAGTAAATGAGTGAATCACAGGGGCAGATGGTGAGAAGGAAAAAGAAGGTAAAAACCTAAACCTCTTCTCCAACTCCTCTCCTCACCTCTGCTGCTTTGTCTCTTCAATTCGCCTTGTAATATTCTTTCACACAGGAAGAAGAGACGTCATGTTCACTTCTTCTCACTGTCTCCGCGCCTCTTATCCAATAATATCTCCGTTAGCTTCCTTACAGCTGACTCTACACTCATGTCATATGTCCTGCAGCTACATGTCATCTCTGCTAAAGGAAATGAAACCCCAAGCTGGAAGGGAAATGATAAAAAAAGTGAGTTCCTGGTGTGATCACAACCACCCACATACCTTCCCATGTCTGTTTGGTGCTTTTATAAAACCCGACAGGTTCTGTCTCCAGAGCTGCCTGTGTGTATAATCCCAATCCCAAACAGCACCCTTTGTCTTTCTCCACCAACAGAACTGCTGACTAAAAAATGTGTGTGATATTTATGTCACTGCTGCTTAAAATCAATGAGTGATTTTGTCATCCTGACAGATGGGGTTCCATTCATACATGTTGATTTTTGAAACAATGGAGTCAATGTGAATGAGAAACTATTTCCAAAGAATAAGAAACGATCCTTTAATCATTACAGATGGAATGGAAGACTGACACAGTCAAATGATAAACCATTTGATGATACCATATCAATCTGATCCCCAAAGTTGGGGCAGTGGTGAGCTGTGTCACAGTGACAAGGAGTTCACTTTCCTTAAGTTGAACATTTGGACTTCGGTATCAAATCGGACCGACTATAGTTTTTTTTTTTTTTTTTTACGATTAATCAGTAAAGTGACCAATATCAGACTGATACCAATCCCAAGTATCGGATCGAACCATCGCTAATAATGAGATACCATTCAATGATGAGATACGATTTAATTGTGAGAACAATCTGACTATGAGATACAATCACGTAATTATAAGGAAGTATCAGCAGGTGGCGTCGGACATCATTCTGAGATAGCATCTCATCATTACCAGGTGAATGTAGTCTCTCATTATTCCAGCCAAGTCCTATCTCCATGGTCAGATAACATTTCAGCCCAAGATGATCGCTCATTATCACATGATAACATTTTTGAGTAAATCAGTTCTTTTTATCAGTCACTAAAAGTTTCACACTGATATGAAATCTTAATCTTTTGACTTAGGGATCTATGATTTTACAACAGAATTACTGTGTCTCTCTTTTTACCTTCTTATACCATTTCAATAGTTTTTTTTTTTTTTTACATCAGGGTTTCTTTAATTGGTTTTGTGGTTTATTCATAGACGTGTGTCTGAAATATTTATTATGACCTTACATTTTGCAAATAATACCTCAGAAATAACTCTGGGTATTTGAAATAGTTTAGCGGTGTATGTAGTTTTTAAAAAAAGACATTTTGACTCCTGTGTAATTTTAGTTTTGTAGCTGTATTACTTCCTGAAAATACAAAAAACATTGATGTAATATTATTCTCTTCATACGTTTCCAGAGAGATACAACTTTGTTGGTTTATTTGTCAACGTTGAACAATGAACAACACTATATTACATGATGACAATACCAAAAAGATTAGGGCTGTTGAAGTTACAGTTCAAGTAATTTTTTTTTTCATCATTTGGATTAGTCCTGAACAAAAGTTATCTGCTGTTATTTGTCTTCCTGTTCCACCAACATACAGGATAAAGCTTTTTTGTCCTATTGAATTGAATAAAGCACGATTAACCATAATTAATTGTTAATATTCTCCTGTGATTATTTAGATTACTAATAAAATAAATGGACAGCACTAAGAAAAAAAATGCCAATCTCTTTTCAACCCTCTGCTTCTTCTTCAACTTTCATGTTTTTTTATTCTATTTTTTTTTTACATAATTGGATTCCCAGAGGTTCCTGGACTGAAACTCCTCCAAAGCCATAATCCAGCACAAAGAGCTGCGACACAGCACAACAATGACATCTGTGAGTGGACCTGTTTGTACGGCCCGCTGCCCCACACTGAAGACATGATTTCAGAGGAGTGAAAGCCTTTTGAGAAATTCATTTTCAAACAGAACACGGGTTCACGGAGGGCAGCAGCGTGACGGTGTGAAGCGCAGTCTCATAGCGCCGGACGATGAGCCCACGTGCGTTCAAGCGTCTATCTGCCCGTGTTTTCACCTTGGCTTTACTACACCTCTCTCTGTGTCTGCCTTCATAGGGGGTTTGTTGGTTTTTTCTTTGTTTCATTTGAAGAGGAATGTGGAACTCACTGGAGTTGGAACAAACATTCACTCGATCTATAGTGAGAGTTGTCGTAAATAGTGTCTTCAACAGTGGGTAATATCTGGATGCTGTATTTCTGGGCAGAGGTTTTTATGAACTTTTTAATATTCTGCTTTGACATTTAGTTTTCTTTGTTTTCATTTGTAGTTTTGACTGTGTTTGGCTAACACTGATCTGGTTTCATTCCTCCAAACTTTTTCTTTTTTATAATTGTGACTTCATTTTCCGAAACTTGGTTTTTCTAAAACTTTAAATTTTTTAAATTTAACTTTCTCTTTTGTTAACTTTACTATTTTACTATGATTAAAATAACAGTTTTTTTCCTATATTTTTTTTCTTCCTTTTTTTTTCTTCATTTAAACTTTTGTATTGTCTGTGATCTTCCTGAACTTTGACCTTTTGGCTACTACTGCGCTAACTTTTAGAATCGTTTACTTTTAACTTTAAATGTCTGTGTTGGAAATAAATCTTTTTGCTCCTCCATCTGTCTTTTTCTTTCTGTTTTTGAGCTGCAGAAAGTTTGTCTTCATTTCTTATTAAAAGTCAACAAATATACAAATATTTACCAACAAATATTTGGTGATTATTGGTATTCAGATGATGATGATTCTGACACAACACATTTTTTTATCTACGTTCACTGTCTTTGTTTTAAGAAAACACACACACACACACACACACCGGTGTGTTTGTGGCCTATTTGCATTCTTCAAGGAAGTCGGGAGATGTTGGAGATACAGATGTTGTTGATCCCACAGCTGCATATATAGATCTCGACACACTTCTTTCTTGACAAGTACACACACTGCCTGCTACACTGACACACACACACAGTTGGGCACACACTGACATGTCTGTGCGTGTGTGGTCCTGATTAATTGGAGCGTTCAGCGGCGGTGATAGCTGCGCTCCTCAGAGACAACACGCTGTCGCCCTCACTCCACCTTAACCTCTGCTGGACACACACACACACAAGGACACACACACACACACACACACACACACACACTGATGAAATTAGCACACCTCTCCTGCTTCCTGTATCTTCCATCTTACAAAACTGGCCACGATCGTCTCTCTTTCACCTTGCCCAAAGCAATAAAGGTTTTTTGAGGGTTGGTGGGGAGCAAGTGGTTAAGGTGTGACACGAGGGAGTGTGTGTGTGTGTGTGTGTGTGTGTGTGTGTGTGTGAAGTCAAGAAAAAAAAACAGACACACCAAGACCTCAGTCTTACACTACAGACAGGTTTTCAAAAGTTTTCTCATCTATCATCCAGAAAGAAGGTGACTGACCATCTCTTACACACACACACACTCACACACACACACACACACACACACTTTTATCCTCCTATAGTTTTCTGCAGCCTTAGAGCAGCTAAAGGAGTCTTCACCTGCTGTAGAATCCAAGGTGACTGGGGAACGACAAAGGGAAGAAAGGATGATAAGGAGTACAAGTGTCGGTGAGGAAGAGAGCCCCCACCCCTGATCAAGGTGTTGTCCCCCATTGAACTACCCACAATGCTTCACTATCTGCCTCCACTCTCTCTCTCTCTCTCTCTCTCTCTCTCCATTGTCTTCCTTTCATCCTCTCATGCTCGGCCCTTATCTGTCCTCAGAGACTTTTCATCTCTTTTACATCCACTTTGTCTGGCTTTGTCTTCCAGTGCCCGTGGACACACACACACACACACACTCTCTCTCTCTCTCTCTCTCTCTCTCTCTCTCGTTCGCCTTCTATTCCCTCTCTCCCGAGTCAGCTGTCACGGCTGCCACTTCCTCACACCCACTCATTTATTACAGGTCACCAGCCCAGAAGAGGCCGCTTAAAGAGAAGGACGCCGCGCCCCACATGGACGCACACTAAAACACACACTCCGATCCCAACCCTTTATCTCAGGCAGTTTCTGCATGTGTATGAAGAGAGGGAACTGTAGTAGACCCCAGTATTTGTCTGCCATTTATCTTCTCACTATGAACAGCCGAGGTCCAGTGGTGGTCTCCTCCGTCAGACAAGGACCCCAGCAGGGATCTTCTCTGAGCACATTCACATCTACGACAGTCCTGTACATTCTATATCAGAACTGATGGTCACCAACTGTACCCAGGTAAGCTACAGTAATTCACCCCCCACAGTTTACCACTAAATGCAGTCTGACGTGTTGCTACAACATGGGATGAATTCATGCTTTCATTGTCATTTTTTGTTTTGTTTTTGTTTTTTCCAAAAAAACAAAAACAACTGTCAAGTCCATCTAAGTTTAATTGTAGCTTTTAAAAAATCATAAACTGTATTTTCTTGACTATAAGTTGCAAACCCAGCCAAAAGATGAAAAAAAGCGATTTATAGAAAATACAGTAGATTGATTTCACTTTTTATTTGAACTTGAATTCTACTACAAATGTAAATCACATTTTTCTTTAAAAATGTTTAACAGTCATTTGTAAGTTTGTTTTTAGCTTTGTTCAACATAATTCAATGGACATTTTTAGAAAATAATAACATTTCTGAACATTCAGAAGTCTGCAGACTAATTTGCTGATGTTTACGCTATTTGTACTGTAGAAGTCTGCAGACTTTGCTGATGTTTACGCTATTTGTACTGCCTTTTTAACCTTTTTCATCCATTTCTGGATTTAGTTTTTTACATAATATCATTAATTCAAAATGAACTCATTGCTGAAGATTTTGACCCATTTAAAGTTTACACTCTGGAGTTACTTAGATACTTGGAATAAGTGTGTATTTCTACAGTGTTGTTATGGCCTTTTGATATATCTGTCTGAAATGACTGTGTTGTCTCAGGATCAGAAACAGACTCCACATCTCCACATCTTAGTAAAGGCTTAAACTTTCTTTCATTATTTTCTTTGAAATCCAAATGAAAGTACTTCAAAAGCTGAAAACTTAATGGAACATATTATTCATACTTCCATTTTTCAAATCCCTAAAAATACCCTCTTGCTCTTTTATTCCCTGTTATAAGAGAGTCCACTATCACAGCAGCAGGTATTTGAATGCCCCCGCCCCCTAACTTCAAGTAGGAAATCCAAACGACAAATATTAAACACGAACCGTGTTTTTCATCATGGTAACGGGGTTTAATTTGGTTACATTAGTCAAACATGAACGTGGACAGAGACCAACGCCTCTGAGGTTGTTTACTCTACAATACTGCAGTGAAAATATCACGGCCTTATTACGTGTTAATCCTTGTTCAGTGTCATAACAGCAGCCACAGAATGAAGACTAATAATCTCTTGTTGGTTTTTTTCTCTCCACCATGTTTTTGCTACAGTACATTCAGTGTAATCATTAAAGAGGAAAATCCTACTGAGACACCGAGGCACACATGACTGAGCAGATACACACACACACACACACACAACAATACACAGCAATGCAGCAGCTAACAGATTAAGGAGTGTGATTAAGGGCCATGTTCCATTCCATCAGTAAATATCCTTAATTGGCATTGCAATTAAACAGATTAGCTCACGCAAATATCGTTACGAGGATTACCTCGTACACGCATGACCACAACGCAGCAGGTAACGGTGACAACGCACACACACACACACATAGAATGATCAGGTTTACAGGAGAAACAACACTAATGACTGGTGAAAAAAAGGGAAAACACAGAAAGGAAAAGGCAAATGAAAAAAGAAGCTCAGACAGACATGGAGTTAAATGATGGAGTGGCTGGTGCCTGATGCTGCCTTGCCAAGGAAGAGCTGCCAATCAGAGAAGGATGAACACCGTTACACTTCCTGCACTGGCTCAGTGCCTGGGCTTAGCAGCAGCACTACAACTGAGAGTCCTCCTCCAAACACTCCTACACTGAGGAAGCACACAGACACACTGATGAGGGGGTTACAGTACACAGATAAATCTATATTTAAAGAAACAGGTGTTGAAATCAGGAGACACTAATGAAGCTCAGAGGTCGACTGAAAAACACTGTGACGGCTCAGAATAATGGTCAACATTAAAGCTCATTTAGAGTCCTGCTTTGATGCTTAAGACTCTAAGATACTATGTGGTTTTGCACTTATCACCAGCTTTCAAATGTTACTTTATTTTATATTCTAAGTGATGTAACACAACAAACAATAGGTAAAAAAAAAGGCTCAATGCTGTAGACCAGAGGTCACCAACGTGGTGCCCGGGGTCACCTGGTAGCCCCTGTGGACTACCTAAGGTGCCGGCGGGGTATGTTCTAAAAGTAAAACTAGTCAACAAGAGGGTCAGAAATTGTACTGTTACTGTGCTTTTTGAATCAGTTACACTTGGGATGATATTCAAATGGGTGCAGTGACGATGGTAAGAAGAGTGTCTGCTATTGTATGTCCCAGAACTGATTATTATTACATTGTTAGGGAAGTCTGTATCAAACAAGTAGCTCTTTGTATTATTGAAGTGTCCTTGAAGTAGCTCTCAGTTTCAGAAAAAAACATCAAGCAACAAAGATAACTTATAGTTTGACAAAAACACCTGAATGTTGACTGCGTGTCAGCCAGAAATAATTAGAAGTCATTCGAAAAAATATTTGGCTCTAAACAGAAAACAACGTAGTTAAAAGAAGACTTCACATTTTAGAAAATAAAAAAACAACCAAAAA